GTTTATATCCTTTTTTGCAGTCTGAAGAGCTATTATTAAGAAGCGCGAGGTTACTGTCTCCATGTGTTACAAAGTCTGATCATCTTTTCTATAACCAGTAGGGGAACGTGTTTGTTAAGGCAACTATCTTAACCCTTTCCCTGCATGGCTTCTTTTCTGCATGGAACTTGCAACAGTTAAAAACTAGATAGTGGAAAGTTTGGTATTTTTTAGTTGTATTTTACAATTATGCACATGACAGTTTAATAGATGGTGGGTGCCATTAAAAACTGGACACTCCTCATACACAGTAAATGTCCATTTTTCTAGTGGCATGGTCTAAAATATCTCATACTTTAAAAAGAACTATATTCTATAATATTTGTCTTTACATTCATACATTTTATAGCAGGGTGGATTAGGATAAAGGTGAGGCAGCTGTTTTCCATATATATTCTAGCTATGTATAAGTACCCAGTATCCACCTGGGGTTGGAGGAAGGAGAGAGAGAAAACAGACCACTAAATATCTGTCAAATAGTTACAATCTCTTTGGAGAGACTGCACTCCAGCACACACTGGATGAGCTTCTTCAGCCCAGTGATAGCCACAGCTCAACCAATGAGCCATTTATTTAATCTGCCAGTGGACAAATATATAACACAGGATAGTCAATTCCTCTTTAGAATGAGGGTGCAAATTTGAGCACTGGTTTTAGCGTGTTATGGAAATAATGGATACTTTCTTTTTTTGTGCTCAAACCAAGGAAATTGGAAAGATGATATGTAGCGCTTTCCACCTGTAGATCTCAAAGTACTTTATTTAGGAGGTCCATCCAGCCCAGTATCCTGTCTACCGACAGTGGCCAGTGCCAGGTGTCCCAGAGGGAGTGAACGTAACAGGCAATGATCAGGTGATCTCTCTCCTGCCATCCATCTCCATCCTCTGACAGACAGAGGCTAGGGACACCAGTCCTTACCCATCCTGGCTAAGAGCCATTAATGGACTTAACCTCCATGAATTTATCCAGTTCTCTTTTAAACCCTGTTATAGTCCAGCCGTCACAACCTCCTCAGGTAAGGAGTTCCACCGGTGTGAAGAAGAACTTCCTTTTATTTGTTTTAAACCTGCTGCCCATTGATTTCATTTGGTGGCCCCTAGTTCTTATATTATGGGAACAAGTAAATAACTTTTCCTTATTCACTTTCTCCACATCACTCATGATTTTATATACCTCTATCATATCCCCCTTAGTCTCCTCTTTTCCAAGCTGAAAAGTCCTAGCCTCTTTAATCTCTCTTCATATGGGACCCATTCCAAACCCCTAATCATATTAGTTGCCCTTCTCTGAACCTTTTCTAAAGACAGTATATATTTTTTGAGATGAGGAGACCACATCTGTATGCAGTATTCAAGATGTGGGCATACCATGGATTTATATAAGGGCAATAAGATATTCTCCGTCTTATTCTCTATCCCTTTTTGAATGATTCCTAACATCCTGTTTGCTTTTTTGACTGCCACCGCACACTGCGTGGACGTCTTCAGAGAACTATCCACGATGACTCCAAGATCTCTTTCCTGATTAGTTGTAGCTAAATTAGCCCCCATCATATTGTATGTATAGTTGGGGTTATTTTTTCCAATGTGCATTACTTTACATTTATCCACATTAAATTTCATTTGCCATTTTGTTGCCCAATCACTTAGTTTTGTGAGATCTTTTTGAAGTTCTTCACAGTCTGCTTTGGTCTTAATTATCTTGAGAAGTTTAGTATCGTCTGCAAACTTTGCCACCTCACTGTTTGCCCCTTTCTCCAGATCATTTATGAATAAGTTGAATAGGATGGTCCTAGGACTGACCCTTGGATACGCCCCTCCCCTATTTGCAGAAGCAGTGGGATAAGATGGCTTCTTAATGCTCAAGAAAGTGATGGAAAAGAAGCTTCTCAACTGTGCCAACCTGTACTCTGTGATCCCCAATGGGGCATGACCTTGGAGTTAATTCACCACAAGGAATCCTTCCCTAGCTGGTAGAATTTGTTCTGCAGTGGATAAGCTGGGTGGCAGCTGTATTTGCCTTTACCGTGCCAGCCAGGGCAGGTTTTGTTCTAAGGCATTAAATGATGAAAGATAAAAATCTCAGATGTTAATCCAAGTTCAGGAAGAAAAATACCCAGAGGTTGATCCTGTGTGTTACTGAACGTCCCATCAGATGGTAGATGATGATCAGACAGAAGAAGCCACAAACTATTGTTTCATGACGTTCTATTCTGTAATTGCAGGGCATTGCCCACTTCTACGGGACATTCAGGACAGCCCATTCCCTCTAGCTGAGTAACCACCCTGGCAGCCTCTTTACAGGTGAGGCTTTCTTAGGAAGACCGTTGGTCGTAGTCCGCAGACTGGCAGAGAGAGTGATAGCCAGGACATCTCAGCTGTCACCTAACCTAGCGATTAAGTTTGTCATCTCAGCAAAGGGGCTTTTCTCACTCAGCAAAGGGGCTGAAGAATCCCATGGCCTCTCAGAGACAGGGTCTGCACAGAGCCACTCAGAACTCTGCTGATGTGTTACAGAATTTGCCAGGCCATATGCTGAACTGATATTATTTCAGGCAGCAGGGAATGCAAAATTTATAACCAGTGTTATTTCCTGTAATGATAAAAACAATGGACCTGAATAAATTACCTTTCAACCTGAAGGATTACAAGGCACTCAGTACTATCTTAAATGGCTACACAATATTAAGTGTATGAACAGAATAGAGATCACGTCACCTGCAGCTGGAATGCATTAGCACAAAATAACTCTTCTCAGCTGTTGAAGAGCGGAAGCGAAGAACAGGGAGAGTTAGGCAAATGGAGTTGAATTACCAACATTGGAATTTGGTCAGTACACTATCCAGGAAAGACTGGTTTGTGAAGTGTCACTTCTTAAAGCATTACAGAGTCAGAAAGACAAGACAAGCATGGACTGGCAATAGGCAGGAAACAGAAATCACAAGTGACCTTACAGCCGGTGTTGACACCCCAGCACAACAAGCACTGCATGGCACTCGATGTAGTTAAGACACTACCCCATTGATCACAATTATTTTTACATTGCGAACTATCTCGGGGGGAGGGGAACCTTAATCCCATTTCATAAGAATGGCACTATTATTTGTGACTGCTAAATAAGACTGCTAGGAAGTGCTGGAATTTTTAAAGGCAAACCTCATCAACTCTTATTACACAAGAAGTTGGGATTTCCTGATACTGACAATTAATTCAGGCTTAACATTACTAGTGGGAAGTGTTGGTAAATCACTGCTTGTGGGGCCAAAGTATTACTGTGTGTTTCCCATTTTCGTAAGTTTCTGCAGACATTTTCCAGACAGAACGTGAATGCAAAAGCCATAACATTCTCTCACAGCACTTTCCAGCATCACCCTGTTTTTTCTTCACATTATCTGGTGGCACAAGACGCGCTGAACTAGAAAGAGTACAAGGGATTCCACAAGACAACGGGGTCATCAGTCTAAGGCTCAGTACTGAATTTGATTAGGAGATGGATAACTAGAAGAAAAGGGTCCACTCTCTCTCTCTGCACCACACGGACAGCCCAGTTTACCCTGTATCCTGGTCTACTTTGTTTGCATGATGTGTGTGCAGATCTGGCTGTGAGTCGGGTTTCCACAGCAGTGCTTCTGTCACATATTCAAACTATAACTTGTCCAGATGGGTCTCTGTTTAGCATTTGTTGTCTGTCATGTGCCTTATTCCATCTGTTCAATGCAGGATGGACGTCCTAGCCATTTCCTAGCCAAAGAGACTATATAGCACGATAGTAACTGAGATTAGCATTATAGGGCAAATGCCACATCTGTTTCTAAAATTCCAGGCTCCGAACAGCATTGCTGAGATAGCGGAGGATCTGAAATGTAGAATCAGGCTTCTCTTTACCGTAAGACCCCTTTACACCACTCTGACATGAAACGGGGACTTTGTGCCACCATTTCTCCTCCGACCTGTGATTTACAGTCACAAGTCGCTCACCAGTAGATGCGCAGCATTCTGTCGCAGCTTAGGGCAGGTGGTCTGGGAAGTGTGACCAGGTGTCAGGAGACCTGGGCTTTATTCCCAACTCTGCCACTACTTCACAACCCCTCCATTTTTCAGTCTCCCCCTCTTTAGAACACGGAAATACAAATATTTGAGGTGTAAAACGCAGCAATGCAAAATTCCTCAGAACCCCCCAGGGTCCTAAAAAGCTGTTAACTAACTGGGCTTTGAAACCGTCAGGCAGTAATTGTAGTTTCTGCCTGTGATTTCTCTGTATGAGAGATGTTTACATAGGAACCGGCCTGTTGCTTGCATCTGAAGCTGCCAACATAATTTTTAACCTCTGTGATTCCAGAACAGCTGCAGTATTTATACAGCAGGTACTAATGTATAATGTACAACTGCCAGTAGTGGAGCTGCCGGAGATTGTACCCAGAAGCCCAAGAGATTGCTCCATGACCATTAAAAAGGTGGCACATGCACTGAATAGATACAATCAGCAGAGAAGACGAAATACTGAAATGTTTGCAAAATGTGCACAACACCCAGATCCACTAATGGGAACCATTGGCTACAACCCTGCGTGTGCATGTGTGATATTAAAAACATACCCCCTACTTCTTTTATTTTTAAAAGATATTTTTAAAGCCAAAACAACCCTTAGCCATAAGGAAAGAGAGTAGTGCCGAGGCCAGAGCTTAAAGTCCTTACATCTGATCCTGCCAATACATACGTTAATTCACTCACATGTACAGTCTCATTGACTTCGATAGGACTAGTCACATGAGTGAAGTTACTCAGGGATTTGCTGGATCAGGGCCCTTATTCTTACTCACTGAAGTAAATGGACATTTCATCTGAGTAGGGATTACAGGATCAGGGCCTTGAGCAGAGGAACACTCCTCCTCTAATGAAATATATACCTGAACTTTGGTAATTTGTGCAAATTTGGTAGAAATAACAAAGAAGTCTGTAAAATACATCAAAAACCATACTTTATTTTATGTATAGCAATACAATTTACATATTAAATAACACTATAATAGAATGATTTGATATAGTTTTAAACATAACAAAAAGGAGGTTTTCAAGTTACAAAAAAAACCAAACCCCAAAACAAACAAAAAACCCCTAAAACCAAAAACAAAATAAAAAGCAAACAAAAAATAACTTCCCAAAACCAAACACCAGTTTCAACCCACCTCCCCCCAATGGATCAATGAAACGAACTTCTCCAATGGCTGGCTAAATCTAATTCCTATTGCACACACTGACAATGGAATTGAAAGAAAATCCAACTTTCACAATCACTGCCCCCAAAGAAATAACATGTGTTGAATTCTTTTTGGAATGTGATGATCGTGTTTCACTACTTCAATACACAGAAAGTATGTATTCACATGTCCACCACAAAAAAACTATGAAGGAGTTGAAACTAGAAAAAACTTAGCTTTATATGAAAATATAAAATTCTATGATTATATACCATAGATACAAAGTTCCCAGAAGATGCTTACCCAAGCAACAAAATATTTACAGTTTTAATGATTTCTGCTATTTAAAAATGAAGGAAAAGGAAATATGAGTAGACGTGAATGCTTAGTTCTTTAGAAACAATGGCTGCTTGCTAGTTTCAAACATTCTAACAAAACAAACAAACAAAAAAGTCACTACCCCAAATGTTGGAGAGTTGTGACATTTTATAAAATTGACTATCTCCTCTTTTGGAGACATGTTTATTCTTAAAACTCAAGACATTTTTCTTGAAATTAATTATCTTCTGTAGAAAATGCTTCCCTTTGCAAATATTTAACAAAAATACTAAAAACAGTTTAACAGCAAAGATAAAGTAGAGGCCAAATCTCTTCAGTACAGTTCCTTCTCTTCCTCTCTCCATTTTGTGTGCCTTCTCCTTAGATAAGCAAAGCCAATGTCGTTTACATTGTTAGAATGGCAACAAAGAGAGAAAGTAGGGGAAATAAAAGCAATGCAGTGGACTAACAATTACGCCTTTTTTGCCTTCATATAAAAATTCACTGGCACCATTTGAACATAAACTTCAGAACACAGGAGTTGATGGCAGAAGAGAATGAATTTGAGAGCATGACTGCTAAATATTTTAGACTCCTACATTTTATTATTTTTTCTTTAAATTACTAATTTTTTTTTTTGTCTGAGAATTAGTAATAGGTATCTTTGGTAGAAACTGCTATCTGTATTTTAACTTTTAAATAAAATGCATCTGTTTAAAAAAACAGAAAAGGATGAACAACAAGGCAGTTGTGCTGTGTCATTAAAAAGGTGGTTTTTCTAGTGTTCCAATAGATCACTCTGGGCCGAAGCGATTCAAACAATCAGATATTTGAAGAAGGATTGAAACCTTGCTGATCCAGTAAATAAACCCAGTTACACAGAATGGATCCACAGGAGAGGACTAAAAGATCAGAATCAAACACAAAGAATAAACTTTAGCCTTTTTTTGTTTCCAAAATTCATATTTAGAAACAGACATTCTGAAATGCCAAGGACAAATGCTGCTTTAGAATGAAAGTTCTTTAGCCCTGGGTCCTGCAAACACTTGTTCAATGTGTTTAACTGTACACGTGTGAGTAGTGCCACTGACTTTAACAGAACTCCTCACACGTGTAAAGTTTAACGTGTAAGTAAGTGTCTGAAGGATCGGGGCTTTAGGCGGAGAATGCCCCTGATTTTTGGATGTTGTTAACAGACAGCAGCTTTTGCAGAAATCCTTGGTCATTACTAGGACTCAATTCATAAAAGCCCTGTACTTCACTCGCCTGGTCTCCTGGCCGAATACACTTATAAAACATGGGGAAATGACATTTTCTAGAAAGCGTATGTGCGCACACACCCGGAAACACACACACGTTTGCAATCCATTACTCCCCTTTCCCCCGGAGCGCAAGTGGTGAGGACCATTGTTTACAGCAAAGCAATGCTTAAGTTCTTCCTAATTTGCAGACTTGCACATCCTTTGAGAATTTCCAAGGTGTGAAAGACATCACAATTCTATTGTACTAACGATTGAAATGTCATCACAATGTGTGTAGGGGCAGAGTGGAGCCAGCAAGGATGTGCCAGTGTGTGGCCCTGCACGTGGGGGACTTGACTGTGGTGAGACAGACAAATGCCAGCATCTCAGCAGACCTCTATGCGTAAGGATCTGTTAACATATGTTCAGTCACATGCAGCCCCAGGGAAACAGGTGCACAGTTGAACATAATAGCAATACACTTCTTGATTCCCATGAGAAAAAAAGCCAGGGAAAAGTCAAGACATCAGTCTGAGTTATTTCCCCAGGGGTTAAGCCCGGTGTCATGGATTTCAAAAACATTCATCAACATTCAACCCTGTTCCCATATCTCATTTGACTTTAAAGAAAATGGCACAAATGTAAGAATCAGCCCGAGAAAAGCCAGGCAGTGTCTCATTAAAACAGTCCACGTCCACTGTGCTACTTCCTTCCCCAAAACCATACTGAAATGACGAGTAGCTGATTACTAAATGGACTGAACACATCCAACTCTCTAACTACCTCTGTTAATTTGCAAGCCATTCTGTTCTTGCCAGGACCTGAATTATATCCCCCCAGGAACTCAGATCTTTCCGACGTGAGCCGATCAGTCCTCCTGTGCCAAGAGCTGGAATTTCCCGGGGCAGCGGCCATTGCCAGCAATGGGTGCACTGAAGCGTCTGGCACCAGCGCAGACTGGCAAATTAACTTCGCGTGGAAGGCTCTCAGCCCCAGCCTAAGCAGTGCAGGCAGCAATACTTGAAATGTGCTTGAAGGATTCCTGTTATTGAAGTGATTGGAAAGCCAATCTGAACTCTTAGTGTATTAGACTGGCTGACCCCTGAGTGCCGGGCTGCCTAATGCGAGCTATTGATGGGCGCTTCACAGCACTAGCACCGAAGGGTTATTCGGAGTCATCTTGACATTTTTTATTTGAATCAGTTCCTTGGTGCTGGACATGGGATTTTCTGATAGAAAACACGAATGTATTAATGCATCGCTGTGTAGTATCAGCTGCTATTTTGGACCACTAGTATCAGGTTAAATAAATTCAAATAAATTCGAGGTAACGACATAGTTGTCACTGGTGAAATCTTTCAAATGCTTAGAAATCTGGATGAAGCAGGTCTGTCCGCATGAAGAAATCTTTCCATCATTAAAAATAAAGGGCCAGCTGCTCGGCCTGTGTAACGTAGCACAGCTCCATTCAGATCAGTGAAGCTATGCTGATTTGCACCAACTGAAGACTGGGCCCCAAGTGTCTGCTCTTAACGTTATCGTAAAGTTCACTTGAAATGTCCTTTTGTATGAAAATGCACAGAATCACTAGCTTCTCTCTAACCCTCTGGAAACCCAAATTAATAATTCAACCAAAGAAGTGGGCCTGCCTGCCAGATGCTTACATCCGAGCGAGGGTGTATTGGAAACAGGAAAAAAAAACCCCATAGTTTTACATTTAAGTGAAAAATATGCTGTAATATTTTGACAGCAAGTCCTGAAACATGACAGTGCCCTTTTTGTTTGGTTGAAATTTAAAACTAATGAAAATAAATCTCTATATAAGGGATAATGCCTTTAAAGCTACACAAAACATCCGAACTGTCAAATTAACATATCCAATTTTAGAGCAAACCATACCTATTTAGCAAAGCTGTTATGGACGTGCTTAGCTTTAAGCAGTTGCTTAAGGGTTTTGCTCGATAGGGATAGACTTAAGTACTTTGCCGAACTGGGATCAAAATGCACAGGATTACGGAACCAATGAGGGATTACATCTAAGTGCTCAAGATAACAACACTGTTTAAATAATGTAATTTGGGGAAATTGTTTGATTTATGTGGGAGGGAGAATGGAATCAAGAGGTTTGTACTAAATAATTAGTTTGGCAAAGAATAAAAGAGGAAGAATGTACTTTTATAGGTAGTTATTTTTATTAGTTTGCTTCACCAGTAAATATGGATCAGTACTTTATGTTTTAGAACTAAAATAAGAAAATTACACACCTGTAAAAATGGCATCTAACAGTTATGAAATTAAGAAACGCTTGTCTTCGCCATGTGACATACCATTAGGTGTGAGGTCCTGTTCAAGAAATAGTAAGGAAATTAATGTGTTTAAAAGATTGAATAGCTTAGTAATGTAAAATATTGCTACCTTCATGTGTCTGAAAACAGACCTATTTTTGATCGTAGCACAGTTTTCATTGAATTGGCTTCGATGAAAATAAAAAATAACACACTTTCCCATATGGCGGCTTTAAAATCTAAAACTGACATTTTTATTCTGAATAATTGGGGAAGCTTTGAAGCTGTAATGTCAAAATCCGTGACCGTGTCCCAGGTATGAGTTGTTCTATACGTTTTTTTAATGTAATTTTATATGTTCCACGTGAAGCAATTCTTAGGCCTCAAAGTATACAAAAGCAGAATCTGAAACAATACAGAAGCAATTGTTTCAGCTCCATGAGGCTATTATACCTTCACTGTAGCTAGTAATCACCTGCCACATTTTATCAAGAAAGGATGAATATTGCTTATCCACTGAACTGGAATACAGAAGACCTACAACAATTAAAATTAAAGCAATAAATATTAGGAGTATGACGGGGTGCAGTATTTCTTGTAGAAAGAATCCATCTGGTCTAGCATTCAAGATTTAAGATTCAAGGGTCACTGTAGTTAACAAAACTTCACTGTATTTAAACTAAAAAGTAGCATGTTTGCTGTCATGGAATGTCACATCAGGGCTTGCTTTTGTATTAGAGTATTATAGGCAGTAACACTGATCATATAGTGCAAACTAGATAAAATTGCGGTGCACTGAGTGAAAGAAACAGAGGTGCGAATGCTCAGTAGGATACCATTAAGACATAAAATGGCAAAAAATAAATATCAAAACTTTTATCAGTGTAAAAAAGTAATTGGGTTATTGTATAACCTAGAGTCTGGCAAAAAAGGCCTCAAAAAAGTTCACTCAGTCTTCAGAAGTTCTACAAATTAAGTGCCTTTTCAAGATTCCAATTAGACAAGAGACTCCATGCTTTCTGCAGGATCCGGTTCATCATTGGCCATCACAGCACCGTTTTTGTCCAGTGTCATGGGACCATTTCCATTTTCCTTAGTGCTCACCAAGCTTAGCATTGCTTTATAAAGAAACTGGTACTGTTCCTAGAATGAAAAGGACAAATGGTTTCAATCCCCATGCTGTTTAAGAGAATGCATTTCTGTTTTGTGTTTCCAGTGCAACTGGTTATGAAGAGTCATCAGAATGAACCCATTATTTTCACATGAAATGCATGGGGCCAGTAAAATCACCAATATGATTGTAATCGTTAAATGTGGTCCAGAAATTCAGTAACAGATCATGCCCAACTAAGGCGCTTCACAGGCATGCTGCCATGTTTTCAAATTCTTATAGAATATTTATTTACTTTCATCTTGCTGTCTTCTCTACTCAGTCAATGCTACCATATCAGGCCAGTATTTAAACTATAAAGTTTAAATCCTCCCATATTCAGAGGACATAACGAACAATTGTTGTTACCACGTGGAAAGCATTAAGATGTTACAGAATATGAAGCATTATTTTTGTCAGTTTTGTAGTTTTGCCAGTTTAATGCATACAAATTTGGATGCTACAGACAGCAAAGAGACTATCTGGTGAGCAACCAAACCCAGCACATGTAATACTGCCTTATATTTAGGGTGACTCTTACAGAAACTGATCCAGTGTTGTCTGGAATCTTTCCATTGATTTCAAAGGTATCGGATCAGGCCAGAAATGCACTTGTGAAGTACATTATGTAACATGCAAGAAACTGTACGGTTCATCAGGGCAAACTTAAGAAGGCTTCTGCCAACGTTCTAGTAATTGGGGCTTCCTTCCAGTTAGCCATTTTCTTTTTTCCTCTTTCATTTCATTGTTATGTGTATCTTTAACAATGTTGTAGAATTTATGAGTAATGACTCTGTAAAACCACAGTCAGAATGGCGGTGATTTGATGGCTTTGTGAATATTGGCTCTGAGTATATAAACAGACACTAACTATAGATGTCGGGCTAGATTCTCAGATGGCAGCTTGGGGGCAGGAGTGGGTGAAGAAGACAGTTATGGCTCCTTGATTCTGGGTCTTAGTCTGAGGGTTACTCTGAACTATATCAATTGGCTATGGTTAGGGGCCACCAGACAAGGATAGCTGGAGTGCAGCACGTTATGACCCAGTCCCGCCTCTATCCCCGATGCTGGGACTGTGTCTATACCCACGGGGGAATCTGACACGTTTTCAGTGTAGAGGGAGTGGAGTGATTCCCAGAATCAGGCCCATCATTTCACTAAGGCTCCCTCTCTTTGGTTCTGCTAAAGCAGTAGTAGCACTGGTTGGGATTATTTTCTGAATGTGCTTAATGTAGTGAGAGCCTGTGTGGGAGCCTCGTAGCTGCATGAAAACACAAACAGGCCCATTAAGCAACTTCCATTGCTTGGCAGCAGAGGCAACAAGGCTTGGTGATGGACACCATGTTGTGTGTGCGTTTTAATTCAAGTTTTACTTGTCAGCACAAGCCTTATAAAGGACTAATTTTATCCTCCACTGAAAGACTTACAATGTCTGTAAATACTCCAGGCCGCATAAGATTGATCATCTTTGCCACTTGGAAAACATCGACAGCATTTTCATTCTCCAGCTGTTGGGAAAGGGTGGTCAGGGCACACAGCGTTCCGGCTGACACAGCTCCATACCTGCAAACCACAACACCGCCATGGTCAGACGTACAGAGGTGAACCTGGGCACCTTGGCAAATTGCCACGGAGCTTTGATTCAGGCTTATCCAAGTGCTACATACATTGTTTTCTTCACTTTTTGTAAATATTCAATGTTCTACTCTATATGGGCGAACAAGTCATTTTTAGCCATTTGAATAGCCAAGTAGCATTAACCATACACTGGCTATCTTGAGCTAACTGTGGATTCCAATATAAAGAACCATATCAACCAAATAATGTGAACCGTTTAAAAATACCCTGCTTGGACTGCGCAAAAGCAGAGTTAAATTTCACACTCTGTTTGCGTAGAAGCGTTTCCATTATGTCGGAGTGTATTTTACAATACGTTTATGGGAACTCAAGCAAATCACAAGCCATGACAACCAAACAAGCTTAGTTCTTCCGCTCCCTCTGACAATTATGTAAGACAGTCTAAGGCTATGTTTGCACTACGCACCTTTTAGCAACACAGCCATGCTGCTAAAAGACATGCAGTGTAGCCACTGTTTGTCGGCAGGAGAGAGCCTTCTCGCCGACAAAAAACTTCCACCCCCAACGAGCGGCAGTAGCTTTGCCGGCAGGAGAGCTCTCCTTCCAACAAAGCGCTGTTCACACCGGCGCTTTTCGTTGGCAAAACTTCTGTCGTTGGGGTGTGTGTGTTTTTTTCACACCCTCGAAGGACAAAAGTTTTCCCAACGAAAGTCCAGTGTAGACAAAGCCTAAGCTGGATACTAAGTGCCCATGAGTCAATGACAAACATCTCGTTAACACCCTTCAATTGAGCTAGGTCTCGTTTGAAGGCAAAAGGCAGCACTTCTGGGTGTGGCTGAGATATAAAGACGTTCAAGAAATGCTACTGAGGGTATGTCCAGACTACCCGCCAGATTGGCGGGTAGCAATCGATCTATCAGGGATCGATCTATCGCATCTCGTCTAGACGCAATATATCGATCCCCGAACGCACTCCCGTCGACGCTGGAACTCCGCCAGGACGAGCGGCGGTAGCAGAGTCGACGGGGGAGCCGTGGCTGTCGATCCCGCGCCGTGAGGACGGGAGGTAAGTCGAAATAAGATACGTCGACTTCAGCTACGCTATTCCCGTAGCTGAAGTTGCGTATCTTACATCGACCCCTTCCCCCCTCCCCAGTGTAGACCAGGCCTGATACTGATTCACTGGAGGCACCCTATCAGAATTTTAGCAATGGTTTGTGACCTGAGGGCAGCGCAGAACCTGTTTGTGAGACACCAGAATCAGGTGAAATGTCTGTGCCAGGGATTGCTGGTATGGAGCAAGCTCCAGCCACGCCCATGCCCATAGCAACAAACCCATTGCAAAGACTGTGTTAAAAGAAAGTTAAGAACTCAAGCCAACCTTGACTCTGGTTCCCCTTCTATGTTTGTGTTGCGATACAGTCTTTAAACCCAGGATTACATGCTATTATTTCCACAGGATCTCTGCCTCATTTTAATAGGACTAAACACAACACTGCCTCTGTGATTTCTGAAGATAACTGCAAACTGAATTTAGTCAAAAGTGACGCCCCTCTGTCTCAGTCAGCATGGGCCTTGCCTTAGTCACTTACGAACTGCACACCAAACAAGGCCGGGCTCATTGTCTTTATGGGTTAAGGACAACATAGGTGCCTAAAGGGAGACACCTAAATGCCTGTTTAAGGCACTAATGGACTGATTTTCAGAGAGGCTGATTACCTACAGCTCTCAATGTCCTGAATGGGAGCTGTTGTGTGCTCAACATCTTGGAAAATCAGACCAGAAAATCCTTAATTTGGTGCCTAAATATAGGCAGCCATGTTTGAAGATTTGGGTGTAAATTGTTAGTGTTTAACATGTGGTTTGTAGGTAGAGTTCCAGAACTTTTTAGAAATGTTTCTTCATCAAGTCGTCTACCAAGTGCTTCCTAAATCCCATTTGCATTTAGTATTTGCAAATCCATACAATTGGAATTAATCCACAGTTGTAATTATTAGTGGATTATTGGATGCGGCTGTTGCACATACTAAAGGGAGATTTTCATTTTCAGCTACATTTGCTCAGCCTCCAAATCAAAGGTGCAATACACATTATATGCTAGGCATAAAAATAAAAATCACTGACTACGACAAATAAACCAAAAAAGCAATTTACAGAAAAAAGTTACTCAGTGCTTTTAGAATCACAGTTTTGAGGATTTGTTTGGGGGTTTTTTTCTGGGAGGGAAGGAGGGAGAGGGGTGTCGAGCATGAAATGCCCAAATCAATAACGGTTCTAATTTGGTAAAGCATAATCTTGAATAATGCAAGTGCAGCAAAACGGCACTCCAGACTAGCCAAAGCATTAATATTAAAACTCGCCTCAAATTAATAGAAGCTGCCAAAATGCAATAGAGCTTACACTATGCATTAGAGAGGCAGAAAACCCATTGCCCAGGCCCCAGTCACTCTTTGTAGGAGTTTGTCACGAGAACCTGTTGTAGTAGCAATACTTTACCGGAAAGGTTGCTTTGCAGCAGCAGAATACTAACATGCGATTTTACATCTCAGTCATTAGCCTGGCTGACCACTGAAATCCCAGTGCATGGTAAGGCTTCTGCAAAATAAGTAAGGCCTCAAAGATTTCCCCATTAGCTCCAATGTATCTTGCTGCAGCATTGACTAAAGATCATGGCTGGTCTAATGGCTCTCACAACAGTTCTTCAAAGTGGTTCCCAGACTAAGAGTTCAACCTGCATGGGCTTCCTTGGCACTTAAGTGGTGCATAATTCTTGTGCTGGTCCTCTGCATGGTGGTGAATTTCTCCCTCTGAGAAGAGCTGTTGTGGGTCTGTCAGGCATTAGGCTCTGCTTTACAACCAGTACATTTTCCAGCGCTGGAAACTGCCATGAATGTATGCAAAGCATCAGTAAAAATGAATGTGTGATGTAAGAATTAGCATCCCCTATAATCAGCTGTTGAATTGTTACTGGGCACACAAAAATGCGGTTGCTTTGCAGAACTATTTCTTAGAAAGCAGCGACACCTCTTGCGGGGGTGGGTGTTTCCTTCTCATCCAGCTGATGTCAAGATGGCTCCACAGAATGGCTGTAGGAAGTGGGCAAAATAAACCCACCATAAAGAAACCTCAACTTCTGTGGCACAAATTATCCTTGCGGTGCACCTTGAGAACCATCAGAGCTGAACTGGTTCAATCCTATTTACATACTGTTGAAGTAAAGCCCTGTGTCATAGGTGGCACATTAGACCTACATTATTACACAGGGGTCCTGGGGTGGTTTTGAAACTGGTTTAATAAAAAAACAACTCTGGAGTCTGGTCTAAACTATGGCTCTCACCGGTTTTAAAGCTATTAGAATTTGGAGGCGGGGGGAGGGTCTGGTCTGAAAGCCCCAAACATAATAAACTGCATTAAATTCAATTTATTTGCCTTTGAAGCATGATGACTGGCTGCAATTCAGGGAGGCTAGGTACTTAGATTGTGGAGCTTAGGCCATGAAAACCCATCCTCTCCAGAGGAGTGAGGACATTTTCCTCCATCTACACCCTTATCCAGTGTAAAATTTCTTTTACAAGCTGTATGTAAATGAGAGAAGGCAGATGACATACTCATCATGAACAATGGTGGGGCCATCCCTTGTTAAGGCCTCTTCCTTGATTACATTGATAAGTTCAAAGGTACTGCTTATGGGAGCATCTGGGTTTGGCCATTTGGGACACTGAAAGTGGCGTACTTCCAGAACGTAGTCATCCTGAAACGAAAAACCATCCTGTCGTTAGCCATTTTAACTCCATATTCACACACTTAGGGATGCTGAGGCTTCTTTATAGCGGGACATTCCTCCCCATTCTGCCCGTCAATGAAAGAAACGAGAGGGGCCAGAAATGGAAATAGTATTCTCATCTCCCGGCAGGTCAGGAGCAACGACGTTAGACATGGATGTGTGCATCATCCACACCTATGTGCACGTATACTGTCTATGCACCCAGACCGCTGTGTATTCCGCTGAGCAGCAATCTGAGCAATCCAGGGACAGACAGGCTGGCACGCAAGTGGGGGCCGAAGCGGTGATGCCCAGCACTTTTCTCCCAGTCCTCTCTCCAAGTAGCTGACTATGGACCCTAAGCTTCCCTCCCTCCCCGAGGACTGCATTAACTGTGGTGCTGCTCCTACACAAGCAGAAAGCACAGCCAGGAACAGACCCCAGAATTGTTCCAAGTTCACCTGATCCTCTCTCTCTTTGAAGGGGTCCGTGGTGGGGAGAGGAAGTTGAGTCCTCCTCTCTGTAGAGATGAGTTAGACCCGTGGTTCTCAACCTTTTTTCATTTGCAGACCCCTAAAACATTTCGAATGGAGGTGCGGACCCCTTTGGAAATCTACATAGTCTGCGGACACTCAGGCGTCTGTGGATCACAGGTTCAAAGCCACTGTTCTATGGTAATGACCGCCTTTTGCAAATCCTTTAGACATAGTCTGCAGACCCCCAGGGGTGTGTGTGCGGGCCACCAATTGAGAACTACTGAGTTAGATCACAGAGCTCTTGGTCCTGCAGCTCTTCGAGAGGACCAGGGTGTGTTGGCGTGTAGCATTTCTGGGTAGTCTTCAGTAAATCTCTTTATGCCCATGGTACAGCAAATGCCAGGGTGAGCCTTGCCCCTGCCTGCATGATAACATAATTCTCCCCTCACCCTAACTGCTACAGGGGGAACCTCCTGCCTGCTGGACAGCGTCCCTCTCCCTATCCTCTCTTCATCTCAGAGCCATCACTCAACAACCTGCAGGCTGCGTAGCCTCTGTGAGACTCCACTCGTTGCCAGTTAGCTGCACAAATCCTTCCCCTCACTGTGATGCAGAGGCAGGCAATGTGCATGCACCTGTGGAGAGGGGAAGACATTATCCAACCATGCAATGGCTGTGTAGTTGCCCATGCAAGATTCAGTGAGGTCTGGGTGAATGCAGAACACAGCCAAGCTGTGCAGTTCTGGCATCTCTGAGGCTCCAGGGAGCAGGTTTGGGGCCATACTAAATCATTTTGAATATAATGAAATATTTAATTGTTAAATATTTTCCATTTCAATTCAGGGCCCACCTCCACATAGGTCTTTCTTAGCCCACTGGTCTCTTCAGCATCTCTAATATTCCAAGAGCAGCTGGTCAAACAAGAGAAGAGCGACCAAAGGTATCCAGACTAAAAAGGCTACCAAGGGCTTGTAACAATATCTTCTTCCCTGCAGCTAAATACATCTGCCATTGTGACAGCAGTCAAAGTATAGGTGTTGTCGCTCAATATAAATGTGGTTTAGCAAATGCAGAGCCACCATCATCGCTTCAAAACAATTCATTTATAAAATCTGAATTTATAAAAGGGGAAACAGGACACTGAATCTCAGTGTCTGGGGAGTGAGAAGGAAAAGGAACCGGTATCAATATCCTTCCCCTTGCATCGGACACACAGGCAATATATTTACAAGTAAATCCTTTTGAAAGTCATTTGCAAACCCTGTCTTATTGCAAAGTTTAACTGAAGGCGCTAACGCGTTGGATGAAAGGGAGAGCCCAAATGCACCTATTGTGGGGGTTCACTTTACCTGGGTAGCTTCAAGGATAAAGTCATGGATGATAATTTGCTCTTCATTAGAGAGGCACAGTCTGTCTTTGCTGATAAGGGTCACGGTAAAGGCCTCACAGTTCATGGATTCCTCACGACTTGGCCAGTACACAAACTCATCTTCTGCCTGGGGGAGTAAAACAAACAGATCACTGCAGTCTTCCAAATAGCTTATTTTATGTATGATTGCAAAATCCAATGGATCCAGAAACGGATTTGATACATAGACATGACCAGAAACTGTTTGTGTCTAAAAGAGATTTATTAGAGTAGTCAGCAAACCTCAAGTAATCCTTCCTGTGCCTCCCAAATAGTGCAACTCCGCTTTTTAATTGGTTTCATAGGGAAATGGTTATTTTAGTTAACTTACACTTAACCTTTATGTAGACACAATCTTTCCCAGACTACACCACCTGCTGTCTACCCAGTACATTACTCCCTTTCTTTTGCAGTCAGGTCAGGTACCTGTTTAGAAACACTGAGTGAACTTTAGAAATTGTTTGTTATTGTCTTTAATTCTTATCTATCTTGGTCTCATCCAAAGCCAGTACTGTCAGGGGACAGAGTCTGATGGACTTTACTGTGCTTTGGATCAGAACACTGGAGGTTGTCGTATCTAGTTGTTGAAATTTTATGAACTGAGAAAAAGAAACCCAAACATTCCTAACCCTGAGGAAAACAGCAGGTCAGCTTAATTCTCTGTAAACTTTAGTCTATGGCAAAAATCGTCTACTGAAGGAGCAAGGGTAAATTCTAAATAAAAAGAGCGCAGCGATGGGGAAAGAAGGATTAAGAGTTTCAGTACTTTTCATGAATAACCAGCTGTAGATTACACTGACAACGCCTGTGCCTGTTCTTGGATTCAAGGTCGTATGGTACGCGCCGGCATAAGCATAGAAGTTAATTGGACATACTACATGGCATTGCTTGCCTGTGTCTCTGAGGACAAGATCAGGCAAATTGTTTTTCCTTCTGAAAAAACATGAACCATTATCCTCTGCATCTATGAATCCATTTTCTCCCTCTGTGCCCAGGGCAAGACTTTCAATGATACTTAGGTTCCCAAGTGCTTACGTCTGTTTTGAAAACAGGACTTAGGCTCCAGTCACTCAGGTGCTTCTGAAAAGGTTGCCTTCAGTCTATAGAATCATATTCAAATAGTCCCTAATATTGTTGATTGTTCCATAATTTCACCCTTCTCCCTCAGACTAAACTCACTCAGACACAGTAGTCAGTCTGCATTGTCATCTTTCTCTCAGCACTGTATGTTCAGCTTCACCCACATTGACATTAACCATATCACAAAGTTTGTGCCAAATTCCGGCGCCTGTTTCCAGGGCAACCCGCACCACCCTCCTCACAACAGAATCTGGCACTACGTGCCTTCCAAGACGAGTTGCAAGGTATTTTCATATCTAGCCAAGTGTCACCTCTCCCAGTTATATCATAATCAGAACTGTTCAGCAGCATTGCTTCGTGTGCTTTTAAAGGCAGGAGCATCCTCTTCATTTTCACCTGACACTCTCTCTTTTCATCAATTCTTTCTGATTTGATAGTGCTTATCTGAAAGCTCTTTCCCTGGGAATTCCTGCTGATCCCTTTAATCTCACTGCACTAAGGAAGAATATAAACGTGGCAGCCCTCACAACCACTCTTTTCTAGGAACGAAGACCATTGTTTCCCTACCATTCTCAGCCACACTTTAGTCAGGCACATATGAAAAAAATCAACTGTTCAGACCTTAATCCTTTTCAGCACTCATTCTTCTTAGGCATATGCCGGTTAACCTGAAAGCTATCATTAACACTTCACCTGTCTCACCTCCAACACTTGAATTCTCCCTCTCTTTTATTTCCATTTATATCCACATATACAACCACAACTGCTTTCCCCCTTCAATCAGAAATCATGTATTTATCCTCTCTTTGATCTCCTTAACCTTAGGTCCCCCCGCAAGCAAACTAATAACTACACTATTGTCTCGGTTACCACTTGCTGTCCTTAACCGTAGCCCCTGGCAAACGAATAACTTCATTGTCCCCATCCTTTCCGTCACACTGGCCACAAACACATAGCACAGAGTCTTAAACTATCATTTTTGCTCTGCTCTGAGGAAATGGTATGGTTTCCTTCAGTTCATTAGTAATTCAGTCCTGGCAGGATACACTAGTTGAGGTTACCTTTCACCTACAGGAGGATACAATCGATTTGAAAGAGATCAGCGACATGGTTGACTGTAACAAGCTTGTTGTATGAACTCAGATTTAAGTAGATGGCTCAAAATTAGCTACATTTTCAACGGAAACATAAACAGCGTGCATGAGTGACCCAATTCCGGCACCCTGCTGTGCTCGGTAATTGAAGTATAGTATATACATAGTTAAGTGTTTAACTTACCAAGCTCTGGTTGTCTGGCAGCATGACAATGATCTGTGCATTATGATCCCAGATCATTCGCCAAAAGTCTTTAGTTGTATGTGGAAGGGGATGCTGGGTTATGATGAACTCATTGCTCCTGTAGTAACCCTTATAAAGCAAAGACAGAACCACACAGTCCCTTATTACACCGAGTACTTTCAAAGCATTACATTTTATTTATAGGAACAGATAATGTTGTTTTGACTACAGCTGAAAACATCCAGTACAAGTCTAATTTTTTCCTGTGCTATTATTAATATTTCTACACAAACCATTTTCACTCTGAGTACATTTCCACTTCTCAGAGTCCCTGCTGCTTTCATTTACTCTTAATGCCAATATTTATTTGAGTGCATGTAATGGAAAAATTAATTCCATAAAAATGCTTTGCATAATTTAAATATTTTAAACAATGATCTTTTATTAAAGATAGTTAAAAGTTTTACATTATGAAATGTGTTAAAACTTTTATACTCAATCATTATATGCAAAATTAAGACAATTGTAGGAATCTGGTATTTAACACCTTTCAGTTGATTTTGCTCTATAATTAAGTGCTGATTTTCTCACCATGATATAAGAGGCATTAATGTAATCAGTTCCCTTCATTCCAGGCAGTGGCGCGAGACCCACCCTAGCACGTTCAGCTATAAGATGAAAAAAATGATCACAGTCTGGTCATGGCATGGTGCAGAAAGCATGAATTTCTGAGATGACTTTAACAAATCAGATCTAACACAACTCCCATCTCCCTCAGCAGCAGGCCCGCACTGTAACTGTGATAAAGCATTGCCAGCCAAAGCAGAATATAAAATGAAATGTTGTACAATATTCCTACAAGGACAAAGTAATTTCAGGAATCAGATTTTACTATAGCAAAGCTTTTCACAACAGGCTGAATTATCAAATAACAGTCTATGCAGTGATGGCAGGGGATTTCAGATCATTCTTGACTACAGCGTTCTATTCGCCTCCATTTGCACACAAAACCATCTGATTTATTTTGCTTCTCCAGTCTTTTTCTAGCATTGCTTTATGACCATTTCGCCGACCTCGGGGCAAGCAGGCAGCTGTCTCCACAGCTGAGGCAATCCCCGTTGATTAGTCACCCAAAAACATACATAACTCCCTCAGCACATCTCCTCTCCTCCAAAGGGAAGAAATGTAGTTTATATTTCCAGTCCCCCAATTTTTTTTTGAGAGTGTGCATAATGTGCTACTAACTGAGCCAAATGTGGTAATTTACTCATAGTAGCAACACTACCAAACAATCAACTTCAATCGCATTGCGAGATATTATCCGAGTACAGATGCAAACATGACTGCATTACTGTGATTCCGTAGCTAGAAAGTCCCCCCCCCCCCCGCCATATAATTATCCAAAAACTTAAACTCCTCAGATTAACATTTTGCTTGGACAATGCATTATGCTGACACCATCACCAGGTCCTTTTGCTCAGTTTCACCATAGTAATTTCTAAAGACAAGACATCTTTGGCTGAACAAAACACAACCATTCTCCTTCCTGGCTGCTATGCCTCTTCATGCATAACCAACAGAATTCAACACAAAAAGTTATGCTAAGCAGTAATCAAACCAAAGAGGTGAGCTTACAGGGCACAACTGATGAGTTTCTGTTCTTCTCTTTGTTGCAGTCTTTCTGAGCACTGAAGCATTCCACATATTTTGCATTACACTGTGTAACCAGCTGAAAGAAAATAAGTAGGAACTGGTTTGACGAAGTTTTCATAGCCCTCAAAAGGAAGAGGAAAGTTTTTCCTTGGCAGCTCCTAGAAAAAATACCTCACCGGAAGAACAAGCTGTATGGTCAGATTTGCTTAAAGTACTCAAAATGCCAATAGGAATCATCCTCTTCATAAAATATATGGCTGCTTATTGGATACTAAGGTCTCCACAGATCTCAGCTTTGGCACACATCAAAATGAAATTCCATTCCAAGTTGATTTTCAAAGAACACTCTAGATTTAGTTACTTTTGACAATTTATTCTGAAGCCCTGCAGGGATGTTTAGCCCACTAGCAGGTCTCAGGGGAAAAAAACCAACAAAAGCAAGCCTCTCTCTCTCTCTCCCTTTTTAAATTGAAACAAGCTCATGCCTAAGGAAGTTTATTTACTGCTGTGGCCTATTGTGAGCCCAAAACGCTTTCAGCTGAGGCCAGCCATCTTGGGGCACGTTCTCCAGTCTGCCAGGTTCACTTTGTGCCGCTTCCGTGGCACAGAATGAAGTTGAGGTGGCAGGAGATTTGTCCTGGAGTATCCTTCTGTGTGGGGAAAATCATTGCTGGTGCAAAGCTGGTTCTTCTGCTTTCTGGACCAGAACTCCACTGCTCAGTATAAGGGGAGGCAGGGAATGTGAAGCAGGCGGTCAGGGGGAGAACAGAGGGAGTGGCAGATCAAGGCTCCTTTATGCCTACTTCTCCACAGGGAGAAGTCAAAGCAGCTTTAATTTATGCTGGGACCAGGTGGTGAAGAATAAGGGGACGGTGACTGATATTTTGTCAACGCCAACTCTCCGCTGGGCTAGAGCTCTGCTGTAGAATCAAGCTCCTCATACCTGCTTCTGCAGGATGGAATACCCTAGAGGCATTCAAAGTTTGATGTAGCTTATGGAAAAGGAAAGACAAAAAGGAAAGAAAATTGTGCAGATACACTGCACTCCTTCTGTATCACTATCCTGCTCTGAGAGCAGCACTTTCGATGTTACACAGTTATTATATCAAGAGTCATTACAATGGCTCGATACTGTTGGAAGCAAAAGTAGGTCGTCAATATTGGAGCTGGTCCTAAACCTTGTTTTTCCTACCACAAAAATAATTTCAAATGAAAAATTTTCATTTTAAACTTTTTGTGGGAAATCTCTAAACAAAATTAAATGAATATTTCACTTAGTTTTTAATCAAAATTTTGGATTTGGTTTTTTAAAAAAAAAATTTTATTTAATTTTTTTATTTTCTTCCTTTTCTCCTTTTTTTGTTTATTTTGCCAATTAATGCAATAGAATGAATGATGCTGAGGGGTAATGTTTTGTTTTTTCTTTCAATTTTTTCCTCTATTTTTTCTTTTCCCACTCTAACTTTTCAAAAGTTCCTCAACTTTGGAACAGTTTCAGAGTGCCAGAGTTACATTTTTCTTTTTACTCTTGTGTAATTTTTCCCAGAGACGGCAAAGATTTGAAATGTTGCAGAGTGGGGAAAAAAGTAAAAAGAGATTGGAAAAAGTGGAATAAAACCTGTACATTATTAATTTTATTGTTCTGCGTGTCAAAAAAGGAAAAATGAAGGGGAACATTAAAATTTCAAATTCTCAAAAACTGAAATGAAAAGTTTTGTTTTGAAATTTCTCACTAAAAAAAATATCAAAATTTAGCTGACAACATTTTCATGTGATTTTATTTTCAACAAAACCTCAGTTTTTAGCTGGAAAAGATTCTGGTTGAAAATTTTTTGACCAGCTCTATTCATTAAAATATCAACAAGAGAATAGCAGTTTAACAATCTCATCAAAGATATCCCTCTATCAGATATATAATGGGCATTCAATTAAATGTGGTGGCACTGATATATTCTGCCTAACGATCCATTTGGCTCTCTACATGTATGTGGAGGCAGAAGCAGATTATGCTTTTGTGGAGGCCTGGGCCAGAGCAAGTGGGGGCCCCGCTCCATCCCTTTTGGCTGCAGGCCCCCTCACGCTCCTGCGGGGAGCGGGGTCGGGGCATGGGGGTAGCAGGTCAATTGGCCAGGGCCCCTGAGCACAGACCTGTTGGCCCAGTGGCTAATCCCATCCCCATCAGGACTATTACAAACCTCTGAACAACTTGAAACAGCCACCATTAAAAAAAAAGGAAAAAAAAAGCTAAAAACCCTCTCAGACAAAGGTTTCTCCCTTCACTCAAAACTCTCACTCCAGAACCAAGTGCTGTGTCCCCCATTTGCCAATTAATCCTTCTCTACTGATATTCCAAACCTCCAAGTAACATCAAATAGCTGCCAATATTCACCCAGGGCAAAAATTTCAAATGTACAAAAGCGACGTAGGCCTTGTCTCCACTTACGATGGTGTGCAGAGTACAGGTCTTAGCCATGTAGCTACCTGCCGCACAGAAAGGCGGCCGTGTTCACCCTTGTCGCTGCACTCTATCGCTACATGCAGCAGGGAAAGGCTCCCGCGGGGAGAGGCTCCAGCAGCAGAGAGCTGCTCCTCCCACCAGAGCCTTTTCCTGCTACCGGAGCCGTTCACTACGGCGAGGAAAAGCTCCGGCCGGGAGACATTACCAGTGCAGATGTGAGAGGCACTGCTTGAGCGTGTAGAGAGCAGTGCAGGATGTATATCCCAGGGTTCAGGCGTGTAGGGCATGCTACTTGCCTAAGCCACGCCTCACTGTCTATCCTGCTGTTTATACCCGTGCTAGCTGGGCATGCAGTGTCTAGGCGCTACCTGCTGCCCTAGTGTAGACAGACCTTTAGGAGCCTAATGTCCCATTTTCAAAGGCTCCTAAGCAAGTTAGGTAGCTAACTTACTGAAGTATTTTGGTAAATGCCAGTAGGTGCCTATGTGCATTTTTAGGTGCTTAAGTCCCTTTATACATCTGGCCCTGAGGAGTCTCATTGGGACATAGGCTTCTAAGCATCAAGTCACTTCTGAAAATGGGAATTATGTGGCTAAGACACTTAGGGTACATCTACACCAAAACCAAACACCTGCAGCTGGCCCAGGTCAGCTGACTCAGGCGTGCGGGGCTCGGGCTGCGGGACTATAAATGGCAGTGGAGACATTTGGACTCCGGCTGGAGTCCAGGCTCTGAGACGCTGCAAGCAGGGAGGGTCCCAGAATCCGGGCTCCAGCCCGGGCCTGAACGTCCACACCATCATTTATAGCCCCCGGACCCTGAGTCAGCTGACCTGGGCCAGGTGTGGGTGGTTTACTGCATTGTAGACATACCCTGCGGTATTTCTGCATTTGTTGCCACCACTCTCTAAAAACATTTTTATAGTTATTATTTACCACTTAGAAAAAGTCTCAACATTTTTCTGTGCTGATTTTTTCTCCTACTGCAATTTTTTTTTAATTTGGTTGTTAAGCCTCTAAAATGTCATGGATGCTACAGAAACCCAGAAAGTCTCACCAGTGAATTCAGAAAATGGCCTATTCATTTTTTGAATCATTTGGCACCTGGTTTAATTTGTTTAATGATTTCATGTCTTTAACTGGTACTTGTCTGAGGGAGTTTAACTGTGAAAACAGGGTCTGCACAGATTCACCTAATGAGACACAGTAACACAAAGTAGTTTTAAATGTGTATTTAAAATGTAATCAGAAAATCTTAAACGGCTGGAGGCTTTTAATTCTTAAATGTGAGAAAACGGCAAACTTTTTTTAAATGATGAAATTATCTGTAATGTATTACTGGAAAAGCAACAGCGGCAACAGCTGTTTTTTTCTAGAGTCTCAAGAAAACTAATTTACCCCGTTCATACAATCCTGAGGATTTTAATTGCGCTACCAACAACCATTTCCATTTGTTTTAACTAGAGATGGGTCTGAGACACCAAGTTTGGATCCTGATCTAGACCTAAAACTAATTAAATCTAAGGAGTGTTTGGATTCAGCATTTTGGTTCAAGCTCCTTATAGAACAAGGGGTCAGCAGCATAGTTCAAATGAGTGCCCAATTCTCTCTTTACACCAATTTTACACGAGTATAACTCCATTAGGGTGACCCGTTAGCAAGTGTGAAAAATCAGGACAGGGCATGGGGGGTAATAGACACCTATATTGGAAAAAGCCCCGAATATCGGGACTGTCCCTATAAAATCGGGACAGCTGATCACCCTAATACTCCATTGACTTCAATAGCATTAGTCCTGATTTACATCATTGTAACTAAGGTTGTTCAATCTGAAACTTCTCCAAAATTCAGGAGTGCTTGGACCCAGCATTTTGGTTCAGGTGCCTTTCATTCTGCCTATTAGATATGATAGCAAAGACTCTCCAAGTGACAAAAGATAGGGAGCTGTGGGTGTGAAATCACTCCTGATGCCTGATAAACCTTTACCTTGAATTGTTTCTCTAGTCGTGTCTTTCCTCCTATTCCAGGTATAAGGATGCTGTTAACATAACTATGCAGCTGGTTTGCAGATACTTCAGTCTCCTTCCCAAGGATGGCTTCCAGCAAGGCATCATGAATAAAAATGTACTGCTCCTAGAAAGGCAAGAGCAAGCAGTTTAAGAGTTAGGAGAAAATTATACCGAGCAGAATCATTAATGAAGGCAGACAGCACACTGAAGGAAAGGGTTACATTTCCTTTTTAAAACAAGCTCAGTCTCCAAATACCGCTCAGACTGGAGTATACATTCATGAGTATAATCTAAACAATACTTAAGAAGTCAAGGGAGGAATCAAAAGTTTCTGGTCTTGAAAAAAGACATTCCAAGTCACCAAAACACCTGCTGAAACGTATTCTGCATTTAGAGAGAAGTAACTGAAAAACCCATTTCCTTTTTGATCACATCATAAAAATGAGCACTGCTTTCAATTCAGTATCACTCCAAGCTTTACCTCTGTCTGAACAAGGTAGTTGCGCTGTGTCCTGATGTGTTTCAGGAAACCCAGGACGTTAACTGTGCTCTTGTCTTGTATCTGCTGCAGCATGCTGTCGATCACAATGTAGGTACCAGTTCTGCCCACACCAGCACTGCAAAGGACAGGAAAGAAACCCTGATAATTCTGCTGTATTCAATTAAATGTTAGCAATGGCAAACAGAGTTCCTACATTCCTGTCCCCAAACTTTACAGTATGAGAACACCTTGACCCTCCTGATCATTAAAGTCCTTAAGTAACATGTTACATGCATTCTAGGATTTCAATCACAAGAAAATGAGTGCTTATTTTAGCTATTTTTCCAAATGTTTGTTTCCTTTTCCCTCTCTAGCTTCCTTCTGAGGACATCTGTAGCGATGCCCCCTGCTGAGTGCAACTGCTAACACCAGTGATTGTGGGTGAAACTCTATGGAGGAAGTCAAACTAGATGATCATTATAGTCATACGATGGTTATTCTGACCTTAACATCTGTGAGAGCTCCCCCATAGCTAGCACTGGGTGTTCTATTCATAGTGAATAATGTAGCCACAGAATTTACTTGCTTTTTCTCTATGAAAGTTATCTGTGACCAGACTATTTCCCAATAACTGTTTGCCGTACAATCAGTGCTAACATCTTTCAGACCATGGGTGGTTTGCAAACTAATTCCTTAACTACGTCTTTGATTATTCATTAATCTTTATTCCCAGAGCATGACTGGTCAGTCTAGAGAGACATGGTTACTCCCTGGTTGGATGGCTGGAATTTTGTAAACAAACCTTCAAAATGTCTAGTGCAAATAGCAAGTACGTGGAGTTGTACATGTCCTTTGCCAGCCCCTTGCTCGCATCTGAAATTCACCCCTGTGTCGGCACCTTGCAGAAGACCGAGGCGTCATTTACACCTGCTGGGATTAAGTGGTTCAAAGGCTTTGCACTGAGATGAGTTTCATTCTGCTTTGAATTGGTGTGTTGTATTTGCATGTTAATAAGAACCCACCTGCAGTACCTGTTGCATCCAAAGTGTGCTTTCCACGCTCTAGTGAACCAGAGTTGCCATACCTGCAGTGTACAAGCACGGGTCCCATTTCCGGGGTCCTGGCTGCTGACGATCTCCTCACAAAGGTTAGCACAGGCAGAGCATATTCTGGCACTCCCATGTCAGGCCATTGTGTATAGTGATACTGAATAACTGTTCTCTCGTTCTGTCGCCCTTTGGGGTTTCCCTTCTGACCCTGTATGTAAAACGTAGCCAGCAAGGAATAAATATTCGGAAAGGGGAGGCCTGGAACTACTTCAAACTCTATCGACATGTCCAAATAAGCGCATGTCAGCTGAGGCTAAACTGAAGAAGTGCCCCTGCTCCCCCAGCTCTGCCTCCCGCTCGATGCAGACAGAGTCCCGGGGAGAAATGCACACGACAGTGGGGAAATAATGGCCATAAGAACTCCCCCAAGGGAAAACAAAGTCTGCACAGCTCCGTACTGTGGGTGCAGGGTAAATGCTGTCGCCAGACAGCCAGTAACCCGGGCGTCACTTAGTTATTTCCCACCAGCCAGCTGCTGAAAGTTGTACACGTAGCAGGCAAGACCCCTTGCTTGCATTTAACAAGCCAGACAGGAAATTAACATGAACAGAGGGGGCTCACTCACCTTTTTCATTTTTGTGTTCCTGACTGTGAAACGGCGGACGGTGTAGCAGGCATGTACCTTTGTGCTCTTCAATGTGACTATAATGTTGCCGTATTCCTCACTATTCTCTGTCGGCCAGTACTGATCACATTTTCTCTGAATGAAGGGAGAATTAGATGGGTTGGGGTCATTTTGGTTTTATTAAAACCATATTTAGAGTTTATTAGAAAGGGTAAAAAAATCATGCCTAGTAATTTATATCTCCGCTATGGGATTTACATACGATATAGCAATACGCTATTTGTGTATTGAAAGCTAATGGGTCAAATTCTGCCCATTCATGAATCGGATGGCAGGATTTAATTCACTATATTAAATAGAAAAGGGTAGCCATTATCAAGCTACATGGTTCCTTACTCTTCCTTTTTCCACGAGGTTTGTAATCATGATAATGATTCCAGTATTTTGTTCCCAAATCATTCTCCAGAAATCTTCAAACGTAGACTTTAAAGGTCCCTGGGTGGCAATATAGGCTTTTGCTTTGTTGTAACCCTTCAAAGAAAACCAAAATGCAAAGTAAGATGAAAGCAGCAGCAGGTCAGACATATTAATAATTTACAGATAACAAAGAGAGGTGTCTTTCCTGTTTTGAATATTTGAGGAGTTTGTAGCAGGAGTCCAGGGGAAGTCAGAAAACACAAAGGCTTCATAAGGAGCAATCGGATAGATTTCCCCCTTTATGAACGTATTTACAACAAGAAAGGAGAAAAAATATTCAAACAACTTACATCAACATAATTAGCATTAATGTAGTCACTGTGCTTAGAATCTTTTCCTGGCGAAGGCCTTAGTTTCACCCGACTGTGATCATCTATGAGAAAAAACAGCAGAGAAGCACTAAGGGACAGCACATTAAAAATAATGCAGGTAAACCATCCCATTTCCTAGCAAATTATGGGGGAGATTCACTTTGCCGGCACATAACCTGTGTAACTGGCTTTCCGGTGATGGAAAGGGAAGGGTCTGCTCTCGCGGATCTGATTGCGGGATCACAGCCTCGGGCTGTACACAAATGAGGGGTGGTTTTATTTTTTAGTATATGACAGCGTCCCTTTAAAAAGTATGAAATGGGAGGAGTAGGTGTGCTTGGAGTAGGGGGACCTATCGAAGGACCGCCCCCTTACCGTAGTATCTGAGTGCCTGAAAGGTCTCTCCACTCCCCTTTCCGTTGTTGTTTTACATGTAATTCTCACAACACTGGGGCTGTGCTATATCTTCATTTTACAGATGGGGAAACTGAGAGACTGACATGCCCAAGGTCACACAGAAAGCAGGGAATTGTGCGGGTGTCTTCCAAGACCCAAGCTAGCACCCTAACCACTGGGCCATCCTCCCTCTCGGAGGATGTAAGTCAGAGGGTTGTATTTTTTATACAATTAAAATCATGCTGGATTTGTCCCATCTGCATTTGGTGTTCTTGAGCGCAAAGCTTTGCATTGTAACCTTTACAGGAGCAGGAATTCAGTACTGCTACACAATATGTGTTGACTGACAATCTCCCATCAGTTCTACATGAGAGATGACAACAGAGAAAGTTATTCCACCTCCCAGCTCAGACCCGGAATAATTTGCAGTCCTGAAACGGACTTCAGCTCTGCAATTCTCCGCAGGACGATGAGAGAGACCTGCAATGTGCTAAGAAGGCCATTGTTTGTCCAAGTCGCTCTCTCTTGTGGAGCAGTTTGAAATGTGACAGACATACCGATCTCAGTTTTAGCATATTTGGGAAGATAAAATGAATCCCAAGGATCATCAATAAAACACTTTGATCCACCACACATCTCCCTTAAGTCGCTTTTCAGATTAGCATATAGAGTTCTGGCAGTAATTTGATCTTAATTATTCAGTTGCATTGTCTTATGCAGGAGTGCTACTTTTGTAAGCTAAACTTGCAATATCTAACACCAAATTGTCAATGTTTTCCCGGTAAAAAGCCTGGGTGAAACCCTGGCCCCATTGAAGTCAATGGCAAAACTCATATAGACTTCGACAAGACTAGAATTGTAATTGTTAATTGCTGTCCCTCCGATTAAAACTAATTTAAAACAACCTGGGTTTTCCACTCATGCACTGACCCTCTTAGAGCAGAGGGCCTTGTACAATTTATATACTGTATTTACCGTAATTGCTTACTCACATGCTAAAATGTTGATGTATCTGTTCTTGTGCTTGTTATCTGGGTGATTGGAATGTTCTGCTGTGATGTTCATGTCGGCTGTACAGCGTTGCACTTCCTAGTGACAGAATTATTCAGATGGAAAATAGATAAATACAAAAACATGGTTTGTCTCATTTTACAACAGCTCTTTGCAAACATGTTTAAACATCAACATTTTAATGGCTTGATTTCTTTGTTGTAATCTTTCAGTGTAGTCCAGTAAGACACATTCTGGTTAAATCAGGGATGTTAACTGAGTCCTGGTCTCTGATTACAGAATCAGGTCTCCAGAATGGGTGGAATTCACTCCTTCTGCAACGATCAATGAAAGACCTATGCACTAGGAGCTGGTCAGATTAGGATTTTCTCTCCCCCAGAGAAAACGTTGACGAATGTAGTTTTCAAAAAATATTTCAATTCAAAATGGCAACATTGGTAGAAGTCATAGTTTACGTGCTTTCCTCCTCTATAAGCTGAGTTTTCTAGATAGTCTACAACTCCCAGGATGCACCAGTTTCTACTCTCTTGATGAGAAGAAGGGGTGTGTCATAGGAGTCACTGGTCATGGTGCATCATGGGAAATGTAGTCCAAAATATAATTTCATTAGAAAATTTTTGACCAGCCCTACTGTATACCTATTTATGTTGCCTTCAAAATATGGCTTTAAAGGAATGCAAGTGCCGTAGTGGTCATTTGTTAGCTTTTTGCACAGGAACGACTTCAATACAATTTAAAAAAATTTTATCTGACAGTTATGAAAAGTACATTAAATACAACTGACAGCAATGACTGAAGAGTAAAAAACTTTTTTGAAAGAAAAATGTAATGTTATCCATGTTTAGGTACATATATTTAGGCAATTCATCTAATTTATATAATAGAACAAGGGTAACAGGTACAAAGGGATTTATGTGCCTCAAGATGCAGAGAGGTGCCTACTGGAGTTTACAAAAATGTCTAAGTAGTTTAGGTGCCTGACTCCTACTGACTTTCAGTTCTCAGCATAATTCTAGCATACACAATTAAACCGTACAATGTGGGTCTGTTAAAACAGCGGAGTGGGTGTCTTCTCCTCACAGCATTAGCATAGCAGAGATTTGCCTTCTGCTAGATTCATCTAAAGAGTTACAAGGTTTCAGAGAATGTCTTGCAGACTTTGCCAGTCTGACATGTCCCTGTGCTAATCTGGGGTGATATTTAAATCAAGTGACTCACAGGCAATATCACGTTCAAGATATACTTTCTTACACGTGCTTAATCACAGCCTCAAAATGTTAACACTCTTTTACATCCAGAAAAAAGATCCTAATGACAAAGTTAAGAGCTCAGCACCTTAACATTAACATTATTATTCCATTTCTTTCCACACTTTTTGAAAATAGTTCAGTGCATGTTTAAATAGTGGTGGAAGAAACCATGTTTATAAAGATTTTTGTGGGCCCAAGAAATCCCTTTCCAAAACCCAGTTCTCTCCAAGATTATGGGGTGCCAAATTATTTTGTACTAGAGGCTTAAAAAACAACCGTAGAGAACCTGCCTAATAAAGGAAGTCATTAGCAGTGCACAGCTGCTACAAAGATCAGGAGCTAAGTGACAGAGAAAATTATCAAGAGAAATGCTATACAAACAGCAGATGTAACAGAGTTCAGCATTATGCAGACATTTCACAAAGGGGTTGCATAGTAATTTTGATATTTTCCACAGCATTTACATTTTAAAAGTGCAAAATATACTAAAACCAAGTACATTTTGTGGCTTTATATTCACAAGGCGCTCCCCAGCGAACAGTTGCCTTTCTCACTCTTCCATAGGGAGGACCAGACTACAGTCAAGGGGATGAGCTCAGCAAAGACAAAGAAATCCGGCTGAATCCTCAGCTGGTCTAAATGGACAGACTTTCATTTCTAGCATGGAAAAATATTTTTCATATTAATGTGTGCACTTTTTCTAGTTCTGCCTTGCAGCGCCAGGATGCAGAAGAGGGGAGGAGTATACTCACTTCTGGTGCTCTAATTTACAATAGGAAACATCAGTTCAGTCTAAACCACAATTGGAAAACGGATGATCATTTTTGTTGCATTTTAGAATTCAGATCTTGTCATTCCTATATAGTTGTAGGGCACTCATCATTTAAAAAAAAAATTCCTTATGTTCATTACAAACCTTTTAAAAATGGTTATTTAGTGTCAAAACATTTACAGAAAACTCCTGCAGAATTTAATACAGAAGACTCCAAATAGGGCTCTACAGAGAGAACTCTAAAGAGCTGTCGAATTTAATAGAGAATTATACCCTTGCTAAGGAATTCTCCATGATGATTTAAATACTGCATAGTAAATGTATCAGTTTCTATTAACTTCTATAGGAATTTTTCCAGAAGGGAATGATTTAGAAGGTTAATCGCTTTAATTAACCTTTTTTGTGTTGCCCTTAAAAATACTGGAGGAGTTGGAGTAATGCCACTATAGCCTCAGCTCCGAAAAGGGAAAATTCCCATCATAATCTCCATATGGAAGAGGGTGGCAACACTCACTGAGTGGCAAATACAGCTCTGGGGACTGAGTGGTATAAGTGATCAACCCTAACAAGTGCCGGTGGCTCACGTGGCATACAAGTGTTGAGGGTAGGGCAGCTTTTTGCCCCGAGAGGAGGAAATGGCTCTCAGATTGGGGTGGCTCAGGCTTGGAAGCTTTGGATGGCAGCTGATTGAGAAGGTACACTCCGAAGGAAAACTGCCACTGGGTCAGCAAAGAGGGCCAGTGCCAGCGGGCTACTTAGTTCCTAGGTTCTTCATGCTCAAGTCATTTAAAACATGCTACCACACTGGGGATAGCTGACGTGCCCTCTTCCAGGCAACAGCAACACGTTAGCAAAGACCTGGAAATTGCAGCGTGGAACGAAGGTTCACTGACGGGGAGGTCAGGAGAGATGGCAATGACTAGAAGGAAAATCCATATACTATGTCTGCAGGAAATTAGGTAGTGTGGATGCAAAAGTAAAATCTTGAAAAGTGGATTTAACATTTTTTGGCCTGGAGGAAAAAGAAAATGAATGGGGTCGCTACCATCGAGAGCCCAGAGATTGCTCAGGGTGTCATGAGGGTAGAAAGAAGAGGAGACCAATTGACAGCACTATGGCTGATGACAGAGAGGAGGGTTATGTGTGATGTCAGCATACGCTATGCAACCAAGTAGACCGATGGAAGAGGAGAAGAGTATTAGCAATGAGTTGGCAGAGTTTGTGGTTATGAGTGACAGTATCATCTTGTTAGTGGTTGGGGGTGATAGGAACTTGCTATGTTGCTGAAGGGAGCCCCACGAAAGGAGTGGGGGGTAAATTTGGCTTTGGTAAAAGAAATGCAGAAGGAGAGAAGTGGGTTGGGTGGTGTTTTCTCTACAGATTTTCAGTGGTGAATACATGGTTTGAAAATAAAAGAATCGCCCATGGTGACATTCTACAGCAGAAAAAGCAAAAACCCAAGTAGACAATAGTTTGATAAGAAGAGAAACACATGAAAAAGGTGAAAGATATAAAGGTTATACTGAGTGAATATGTTCCAGAACAAGGTAAGGTATTAATAGCTAAAATCTGATGGCAATTTGAGATAACAGGAAAGAAGATGAAATTGAGGAAGAAATTGCATTGGTGGTTTTATAAGAGGGAGACGGGGAGAAAGGAAGAGTTAAGTAAAGGAAGGCTTTCATGCTTTGCCAACAACAGTGAAGTCAGTGGAGAAAGAATGGAGGAACTTGAAAGAATGTTTCATTAAGGCAGTGGAGGTAACACGAGGTAGAGATGAGGCACTTCCAGAGAACAAGATGGTGGTGGAAGTCACATGTACAAGAGAAGTTAAAAAGAATAAAGAATTATTTAAAGAGTTTGAGGCAGCAGGTCATGATAATGAGAATAAAAAATGCATACAAACAGGCCAAAAAAAAAAAAAGAGGCTAAGAAAGCAGTTGCCAAGACAAGAATGGATGCTTAGGAGGAATTATACAGAAAGCTGGAGGAAGATGACAGCAGAAAATTGGTTTTGGGGTTGTTAAAAGAGAGGAACAATGAAATACAAGCTCTGAAGAAATCTGTGCGTGAAGGATGGGAACTGTGTGGTGACTAACCCTGAAGAGGTGGTTGAAGTATGGAAAAATATTGTCAAAGGCTGTTGAATGAGAAAAGGGAGTTTCAAATGCAAGCACCACCAACAATTATGAGAAACCTCAAAATATATCTATCTCTGTAGAGGAGGTAGAAGCAGCACTGAAGAGAAGACTGGTCAAGATGAGATAACTCTTGATATGGACATACTGGAGCAAAGTGGCTTCATAGATGACTATGGGTTTGATGGGATCATGCAAGGATACCAGATGACAGGAGAATGGGATTAATTGTGCCTCTTTGGAAGGGTAAGGGTAATGCAAATGATCCAAACACTTATTGGGGCATCACCTGTTAAGTCAGCTTCTCAAAGTCCTTGAGAGAATTTTGGAGGCATGGTTGAGATGCAAGGTGGAGGAAAATAAAGGAGAGGCGCGACATGGCTTTAGGAAGTGAAAGCGTAATATAAATTTGCAATGAGAGAGAAGTGTGAAAGAATGATAAATGGAGAATATTACTGCTATGTAGCTTTTATTGATCTTGAGAAAGCATATGAGTTGGTTCTGCAGGAGCTGGTGTTTGGAATATTGAGATGGGTGGATGGGAGGGGGACTTTAAGAAGTGGAGATGATAGAGGAGCTGTATCGAGGGCCAAGAGCTAAGTTGATAACAATACATGGAATTTCAGAGAGTTTTGAGTTTTTTGGCCTGGAGGAAAAAGAAAATGAATGGGGTAGCTACGATTTTGAGCCCAGAGGTGGTGAGTCCACTTCTCTTCACCCTAGTTATAGAGTTAATTAGTAGGAGACAGAGAAAACTAATGTATACTGATGGTTTGGCCCTTTTCGCTGACAGCAAAGAGAAACTGATAAATATGGTATCAGAGTGGGCATTTGTGGCTGAAGATGAGGAAACGTGGCAAAGGGATAAAGCAATCAACTGTTTCTAAAAATATAATGATCATTTCTCTCTAAACGTCC